CCCTGCGGGTTAGTCCTTCGCTGTTTCTAGGGCATCCCTGGGGGCCGGATCTAAGCACCCTATGGGTTGGATCCGGCTCACAGGCCTTAAGTTTGGCACCCCTGCCATAGAGGAAAGCCTCGGAAGAAGGCTGTAGGATCCAAATGCAGCAGTCTAATCCATCACGCTAGTGGTCTGAAATCACCAGTCACAAACAGCCTTCCGAAAACAGACTGGAAGCCGATGAAATTAATGTTGTGATAAAACCATACTGCCTAGTCTCAATGACCTATTTATTTCTGGCTTGCTTCATGGGATTGAAGATTATGCCAGTATCACTGTGAGCACTTGGGAAAGAAGACACAATATAGCATATACATATTTCAATAGAACAAAATATGGAGACAGCATGTCAGTAAGCAATAATACCTTTTCGACTTTCCAGATGCCCAGAAAAACCTGGCTGTTCTCCAGGCATTGGCCCAGGGGTGAAATGCTACCGATAGAAAGAAAAATGCTACAGGTTTGGGTGAACCGATAGTCATCTGTGCCACAATCAGCTGTACCGCGTGATTTATATTCACTAGAAAACAGGAAATCCTGCTTTCTAGTAAATCTAAATTGTGCGGCACAGCTGTTCCCCCCCCCCCCGCTCGCTATTCTACTTATCTTTTCAGATTCACAAAAGGCTTCTTAGCACCTACAGTGCGCATGCATGCAAAGGGTATGTTTGGCACGCATGCATGTGCGAAGCAAACCAGTAGCAGGCTTCAGAGCATTTCACCCCTGCATTGGCCTATGATGAGCATCAGCCTGCAAAGGGGGAGCTGTTGCGAGTTCATAGCACCAAGATGGGAAGTGAGATATTCTTCGACACTGTGAGACTACAGGTGATCCTCAACCTACGACCACCATTGAGCCCAAAATTTCTGTGGCTAAGTAAAACATTTGTTTAGCGAGTTTTGCCCCATTTTACGACCTTTCTTGCCAGAGTTGTTAAGCAAATCATTGCAGTTGTTAAGTTAGCAACATTGTTAAGTGAATTTGACTTCCTTGTTGACTTTGCTTGTCAGAAGCTCACCAAAGCTGATTGCATGATGCCCTGGACACTGCAACTGTCATAAATATGAACCAATTGACAAGCATCCAAATTCTAATCGCATTTTGATGCCCCAACAGTCATAAGTGTGAGAAACGGTCGTAAGTCACTTTTTTCAGTGCTGTTATAACTTTGAACCATCACTAAATGAACTGTTGTAACTCGAGGACTATCCGTATAGCTTTATTTCCCATTGCTACAATGTTTATAACAAATTATTTAAAAACTGCAACCTTCCGCCATTCAAAAAAGCGCAATGCTTTAAAGTTTAAAGGAGTCTTGAGTCATTTAGAATTTAGTAATACTTCTGTTGAGCGGCTTTAGTGTTCTACTATATAAACATCCATTCACTCACTCGCTCAGTTAGTAAATCATCCCAGCACAAAGCTTTCAGCAAGAGATGCATGGAAACATGTTGCTCAGAGTTAAGCAATCATCAATTTCTTTCTACAAAGAGACCATCCAATATAATACCATAATATATTTGGGAGAATACTAGTATAGAAAGTTAATGTTGCTCTTGTACTATAAAAGCATCTGTTGCCAATATCTGTGCAGATCCGCTCCAGTTATGAAGTTAGGGTAGATATTTCTGCTATATCATAAGGGCTGCTTCAGTTAACTTCCCAAATAGATAAGATTTTACTTTTCAACCACATTAATGAATAAGTCGAAGGATAAAAGAGAATATATAAAAGTGGTCATTATATGACATTCTTCCAAAATATAATAGGATATCATCAGTTATGTAATGCTAGGAAGTCTGTTGTGCTATTAAGAACATCTGGTTTGATTCTCCGAAATCAAAACCCCTTGGTTTCTAAACTTCAGGACAAATGCTGCTACTCATGTCAAAAAAAACATTGTTGAGGACATTGGCTGTAATTCACTATTTTCAATGTGTTATAACTTCAAATGGAGACTAAATGAAGGGCTGTAAATCAAGAGCTACCTGTAAAAGCAAATTCTTTAGCAGCTCTCATGGTGACTATTTTCTGTATATGCTGCATCACAATAGTAACCCGTGAACAATTCTTGGAAAAGGGGATTATTTATCGGAAATAACTCAGTGTAATTAGGCTGCGTCATTGGCATCTTCTAGATTGATGCACATCTTTGCTTAATGCTGTCTACAAAATTATAACTGTCTGGAGAAGACTCCTGCGAGTCCCTTGGACTGCAAGGCGATCAAACCGGTCAGTCCTAGAGGAGATCAACCCTGACTGCTCTTTAGAAGGCCAGATCCTGAAGATGAAACTCAAACACTTTGGCCACCTAATGAGAAGGAAAGACTCAGTGGAGAAGAGCCTCATGCTGGGAAAAATTGGGGGCAAAAGAAGAAGGGAAAGACAGAGAATGAGGTGGCTGGATGGAGTCACTGAAGCAGTCGGCGTGAGCTTAAATGGACTCCAGAGGATGGTAGAGGACAGGAAGGCCTGGAGGAACGTTGTCCATGTGGTTGTGATGTGTCAGACATGACTTCACAACTAACACAACAATGTCTTTTTATTTTTGAAGAACTTATGACTCTTATTCTTGAGTAAAATCACTATTTTGTCCAAGATGCTCAGAATGAAACACCAAGAGGTAGAATTAAGGAGGAAAATAGCTCCAAGGCAGTTGTTCAGTCCAAGTATTGTTTTCAGAATTGCCCTGAGCTCAAAGTCATTTTACATACGTTTTTTTTCCCTTTCACACTCAAACATTCATGTCAGCAACCTATTATAGGAAGAAAAAGTGTTTTTCATCTTGGCTATTACACAATTAGGATATTCCAGTTCACATCTTTGGTAGTCATAAATTACAAGCTTTTAAAAAACATCACTAGACGAAAATGTAACAGCAATATCTACCTATGTTGCCTGGGCTCAAAGGCTAGGAATAGTCAGAAATGGTGAATACTTGGATGAAAAAACCTCCAGAAAATGTCAGAAGTATAGGTTTAACTGGGATAATTGAAAACATGCTACAACAATGTACCGCAATGCTAAATTGTTTTGATGTATGTGAGGGAGGGAGGGAGAGAGAGAATGAGAATTATTAAAATAATAATATTAAAAGAAACCTTGCTAAAATTCTAAAGAATATCACTGGGAGAATATCTGTATGTGAAATTATCAAGAGAATTTTTTGAATGCTCAATAAACATGCTTTCAAAAGAAAGCATTTAATCTGAAGCAAGCATCTGGTGATTAAGTAGACTATAAATAATGCGGTGATGAAAGAAGAAACGGAACATAGCAACTTCTTCCTTCTGCTATGATTTGGGAATATCCTGGGCCTATCCCTCAATAACTTGTACTCCCACAAACTCTGGTGATTGGGAAAGAAGTGTATTCAATGGAGGGATTGGCAACAGCTACTAATGTCTCCCCGCCCCCCCCNTGCGTGCGTGCACACGCACGCGTGTGTGTATGTCCCAGCATAACTCTGGAATGCCTTGAGCAATTTCAGATAACTTGTTCTCTGGAAATAAATACTATGGGGGTAAGACACTTTTAAAACCCCTTGGGTGTGTGTTCTGTTAAGATAAATCCTGTTGTGCCTTAAAATGGCTTCTACTGTACTGCTGTAAAATGGCCTCTACTGTGCAGCGCAGTGGTGGTGCCATGGTAACGGCTTCACAGTACTTCACAAGGGGGCTCCTTCTGTTAAGGGGGAAAATCCAATGTTAGAAATTACGTTTGGTCCGGACATTTTCCCCCTATAAACAAATACCCAGACAATGCTGGGTTATCGGCTAGTAAATAAATAAAAATAAATAAATCTAGCAGACCGACAGAATCATAAATAATGTTCAATCTATAATTGAAAACTAGGGTGTCATCTTAAGAAGGACAGATCTTCACACTTCAATGTACAGAGATTTGTGGCTCATGTGATTTCCTTTTGCATGAAGGAAGAATTGACTCTTTTTTTATTATTATTTTTGAGAAGGTGGGGCTTAGAACGGCTACAGACAAAGATATCACATGCTTCCTGTCCCTGTGCTTATTACTCTATGGCCCAAATTAGTACTTTCGTATCCAGAGGCTGCCCCTTGTGCAAAGGCCATTTGGGCATCACCAAAGGAAGAACCAAAGCAAACATTCCATTCCAAACCACACTTGGCACAAGTGCACAGACAAACACGCCAGAGCACTTCCCCAACGCAATAAAGCTTGAAGGAGGGAAAATAAGCCAGTAGCCAGATCAGGTTTCCTTGCCACAAATCAGCAAGAAGGGGGCTCGGATCAAGGTATGCGTAGAATTTGGTTGCATGACTTATTCTGAACAAAATCCTCCAACCAAATTTAAAGAAGCATAACTATCTGAAGCTTTAAAAAGATGGTTATAAAAGTCTTATGAATAGCTGGAGTTCAAGGTGGGAATTTATATACGCGTTTCGTCTTTTTTAAAAAAATATTTTGCTGGTTGCAGTAGTATTCTTTTGGCAGCTGTTGCAAATCTCTGACAAGTTTATCCTTTGGGTCCTGTGTGGGAAATCTGTATGGAAGTCATACAGCACGCCAGCTAATGCCCTTACTTGAATGTGAACAGACAACTCCATCCTACGAGGGCATTTAAAATTGACCAACCCTTTTTGCAAATTCATATGAAAATTCCAAAAAACAGCAGAAAGTTTCTTTCTTGCCCTGTTTACAACAGCTAACTCGATTAAAAACCACACCGACTCTTGCTGCAGTTCAGCTGTGTTTCCCCACAGGCTGTATTATAGTTCTCTAACCAGTCCCACAGCATTGAATGATGTCATGGGATCAGTTCAGCAAGATGAAAGGCATTAAGCGGAACCCGCTGGCACTGGGGAAAACTTCCAACACACAATCCGTGAGGAGCACAGCTTGAGAACAAAAAAAAAAAAAAGGAAAGGAAAAGAAAAGAAAAGAAAAGAAAAGAAAAGAAAAGAAAAAAAGAAAAGATCGGTTAGAGACCCAGCTATTCAAATCCAAGAAAGACGGATATTTTTTTTATCCCTTTCCAAGGAAAAAGGAAGGAGGGTAAGTTGAACTACACTGATAAGTTTTTATTAAATGTATGTAAGAAAAAGAAGAAGCCACGATATTATTAGCTGCTAAAGAAGAAAGCAATCTCCCTCCCCCTCCTCCCTCCCTTTCCCTCTCTCTCTCTCTTCTCTTTCTCTCTTTCTCTCTCTCTCTCTCCCTCTCCCTCCTGCCCCCCCCTCTCTCTCCTCCAAAGCACAGCCTTTGATGTACGGCAACAGATCACTGATCAGATTACAGGCATTTGCTCTCACTGCTTGTCTGCCTTTGATGTATGTGTTTAATTTTATTTTCCTGGATTTAAAATTTGCCTGGGCTTGTACTGACATACGTTTTTTTAAAAATGGGAAAAGATGAAGGTGTTTAATATAGAAGCTTTGGCAGAGTAAAGTTCAGTTGCAGGAAGCGTGGCTGTTGGATGGGCATCAGGATAATCCGGTACAGTATTGTATTATTATTATTACATTTAAAATGTGTCATCCATTGAACGCTATCTGCTTTGGGGGTTTGTTTATTTTGCTAGTGATTTGAAAGGGAAACGTTAGGTTATTTAAATCAACCGCATTCCTAGGAAATATTCCGGGAAGCATTCTGGTTTATAGACTCTATGGGGTAATATTAGAATAAAAAAAGAATTGTTCTCAGAAAAAGAATAATAACTGCAGCATTTGTAGTACTCATTACAATTAGAAGCCTTTGTTTAAAAAATATTAATCAGAAATGTGTGGCTTTAAGAGTTGGTCAGATTTACTTAATAAGTACAAAAGCTGCCCCCATTTAAATGCTACATTGTGCCATCTCTTCAAAATAAATGATATGTGTTGGATTTAAAGACTTGAGAATCGTGGTCTGTAACTTGCAACCCACTGCTAGTTACATACAAACTAGGAAATGTTGAAATGTGTTTACAATTGAATTGCTTGCCTCAGTGAAGGCAATGAACTAGCGTGGAAACTACACCAGAAAATAGACTGCTCATTACTCCATCACTGCAATGCTAAGTGTGTATATCATGAACTGTGTATATCATGAATTCTACTGGGGTTGATTCGTTGATTCACTAGTTAATATGTTTAGGATAGTAACCTTTACTACCTCTGGCTCTTGTCCAAATATGTGTGTTCCTGAGTCAGAAATGCTAACGGACAGAATTGCCACTTGTATTTTGAGGTGTTGCAGATGCTAAACTCATACACATGCAATCTTGAATGCACAATAGTATTTCTCTGAACACAAGAAGCTAGGAAAGTATCTAGGGTGAAGTACATATACAGTAATGGTTAATTATACTTAATCATATATATTCATTCATTTTATGATTAGAACAATTCTGTGTACAATTACTTTGAAGTTAAGTCCCACTGTATACTTTTCAAAAATCAACTAAATTGTGCAAAATGTAATATAGACTTTTTGTGCGTTTCCTAATTAGATTCTTTAGACCTCTCCGTAAAAATAAACTAACTTTTTTTTTAAAAAGGAGATTAAAAAAACCTTTTAAACAAATCCCAGTTTTTAACAATGTGGCCAAACATTGAAATTGTAATCTGTTAAAAACCAAATCAAAACAAGATTTGTTTAAGCAGCTAATACTCAGAACATGTTAACTGGGGATTAACTGCTCTTAACAGGTTTTAGTGATGAACATCTGTTAAAGGGTTTCAGATTTTATGTTCCAAAAGCCAGCCTCTCAATGTGAGATCATCATCATATTTTGTGAGATCCATAGCCATCAACTATGAGACCTCTGACTCATAGTAGTAAGCAAATACTCTGAAGAACATTTGTTGTTTTCTTAATAAGAAAATACAAAAACTAAAGGGCTTCTTACTGGTTCTAGGAGTACGTGAAAACACTAGCAGATCAATAGTATAATAAATTCATTGGATATAGTAAACTCTTTAACATTTATGGGAAAGTCCCAAGATAAGATTAGTCATTAAAAATAAATATTTTTCTTTTTATTTAACACTTAAATCCATACCATATGCCTCACTCTTAAAACTCAAGCATATCTTTATGTTTGTAACCATATCCACCTCATCCTAGACAAATGATCAGCACAAGGAGAGGCTCTAATTTACGTTCTCTTTCAACAAAATCTGGAGCCACTCTTATGATGATAATTTAGGATAATTTAAAAAGTACAATCATTTACACATGTTGTAGTAGCTTCTTTGGTACATTTAGTCCCTCGGAGAAGAATTAAAATTCCACTAAAACCTTATTTTTTTTAATTGCCGTAATGTAAAGATATAGGCATTGTGCCTAATCGGATTTGCTCTGAATTATCAACTTTCATCTCAACTAGATTTGCTGTACTAATTCAAGTTCAGTCCACTTATCTATTTATTAAATCAGCTTTTCCTGCTTTTGGCTGCAATTAGCAATACAGTATATGTTTGCATTATGTTGGTGTGTGTGTTTTTGTATGTATGTGTATGTATGTATATGTATATATGTTTGTTTTCGTAGATTTTCATGGGTACAGGTATGCAGGTCTTGGCGTATTCGGGTCTTTTCCCGTGTAAGATTGAGAGTATCTTGGCGACATTTCGATCTTCGGGCTGGTGCCTTCGGCTTCATGCTTGTGTGAGCAAAGCGTGATCGGAGCTGCCGTCTTTCTATAAATATTGGTGGGGGTATGTGGAGTGCTGGCTTTGTNCATATTGCCCCCAACAATCCGGGTCCTCATTTTACCCACCTCGGAAGGATGGAAGGCTGAGTCAACCCTGAGCCGGTGAGATTTGAACAGCCGAACTGCCGAACTAGCAGTCAGATGAAGTGGCCTGCAGTACAGCACTCTAACCACTGCGCCACCTCGGCTCCAATAGGCAATATGATGGAGGGGACTAGATTTATTGGGGCCGGTGCATTGCCTCCTAGAGGGAGAGCACTATTGAGCGATGTCCCATTGTGATCAACCAGTAAATTGCCTAACCTGTGACTCAGGAGGAAAGATACTGTAATTTACTGCTGTAAATGCAAAGTTAGTATATATATATAACACCCATAAAATGTAATTGACAAAGTAGATATTGCATAATCTCACCAACTTTTTTATGCACTTGATCTTCATTTCACACTCTGCATTTGAGGAGATAACTCCAAAAATCTCTTCAACTTTGTCATCATGTTGAGATTTTAGCCATTTAAATTTGTTAAATTTAATGTCAGGCTTCTTAGATGTTGTCTCATCATTCTGCAGGAGCCTCCCGGATAACACTAAACATGATGGTCCCCCATAGCTTTCAGTTATGGATTACTCTAGCAGTGTAGAAAGGAAAAGTCTGGGAATGTTCATTCCTTTCCAGTACCTCTGCTGAAAACTGAAAACTAAAGTGATGGTATTAAGCATGCCTTAAAAAAAAAGTCATGCTTAATGTTGCAATGATCAGCTCAGTAGTAACTTCGTTGTCTCACACCCAGTTATTATTGCTTTTGCTGAAGGAAAGTACTTTTATGCATAAGCAAATCACGAGGATGGTACAAAATGTAATATATATTTTTTAAAAAGTATTGGGTTTAAAAGGTGATTAGTGAGGACATGAGCCTAACCTTTTTAATTTTACACTAGTTCCTAATCTTTAATTCTGCAGGTATATGTTGTATTAAATGCAATTAAATTTGTTGATAATTCAAATAAATAATCCATAATTATAGAGTCGACCATTAACAAGAAAGAGTTCTGTGCCAAGAGTTCTATAGGAAGAATGAAGAAAAAAAAAAGCATTTCATAGTCAGGAAAGATACTGGCTTAAGAAATGCAAAACCTGACCATGTAAATAAAATGAAGATCAAAAGCATGAAAACAAATGGGATAGTCAGTGATAGCATTTAAAAAGGGGGTATTTGTTAAATTGAAAACAGATTATAAACAGGGAACTTCTGAAGGGGCGAAGGAGATAGATAAAAGTAACAGAATAAGTTGGGAATAAAAATTAAAATAATAAACTTGATGCACAGAAAGAACAAATTAGTTGAGCTCAGTATGGTGGGAATTGAAAATGAAGATGAGGTTCTAGCAGCTTTACCCTTTGAAGAGCCAGTTTGATGTAGTGGTTAAATTGCTGCTTTAGAAACCAACATACTCTTGAGTTCTAATCCTGATTTAAGGTGTGAAAACCAGCTAGGTGACTTTGGGCCAGACACGCTCTCTCAGCCCAACTCACCTCACATGGTTGTTGTGGGGAAAATAGGGGAAAAGGGAGTATTACATATGTTTGCTCCCTTGAGTTATTTATAAAAATAATAACAGCAGAATAAAAATTTGAATAAATAAAATGAACTCAGCTGTAGTTCAGTTTATATATTTCAATAAAGTGAGACTTCAAATACAGGTTGTCCTCCACTTAGGACCACAACTGAGCCCAACATTTCTGTTGCTAAACAAGACATTTGTTAAGTGAGTTTTGTTTCATTTTCTTGCTACGTTGGTTAAGTGAATGATTGCAATTGTTAAGTTAGTAGCATAGTAGTTAAAGTGAATGAGCTTCCCCATCGATTTTGCATAACAGAAGGTTGCAAAATGAATACAAGACACGGCAACTGTCATAAATATGAGTCAGTTGCCAAGTATCTGAATTTTGATCATGTGACCATGGAGATGCTCCAATGATCGCAAGTATAAAAAATGATTGTAAGTCACTTTTGTATGAACGGTCACTAGTTGAAATGTTGTAAGTCGAGGACTATCTGTAAGCATTTAACTTGAATTCAGTAGGACTGACGTTTAAGCAGCAGTAGCAGCTTTACTCAAAGTGCCATATAAATATAATAAATGTTTTACTATATTAAGCAGCCTAAGAAGACTTCCTGCACACAATCATTTGATGCAGTAATATTAAAATGGCAGGCTCAGATTAGGTTGAGATCCTTTCTGTAGTATTTAGGTGGCATTTCTTGAACATATTTCCTCCTTATAATTCTTTCTACGGCTTGCGCTAAAGGGAGGGTATAAGGGATTCTTTGCTGCTTTGCATCTTATAGAAAAGCTA